TGGTTATGAGCTTCTACGCGTCGTTTTCATCGTTGCAGTATCGCGAGGGTTAGATTAGGGCTTATGCGCATATGAGGTGTACTACGGGCATCGGGTTAGTCAATTTGCAACTTCCATGGTTGGAGGATGTTATTATGGGCATACAAATTATGCGGTGCATCGTGTGGTTTCAGCATGGGTGTATGATCATATTTGGTACAGTGGGTTGAGATTGATACAATGATCGTATGTTGGAATCAGACCTGGTAGAGAATTCCGGATGTTGGAATTTGGTCCTAAGGCTTGTTGGCTAAAATAAAAAGGAGGATCTTCAGTTTGGCTCGAGCTAATGTGCTCACCTGGGTTGTGGTGGCACGGGTAGGTGCACATGGTGTTGAGTAGTGATTTTGAGGCAACTCCAGAGCAGTTCTTGGCACGTTCGACGACGAACATATGTTTAAGTGGGGGAGAATGTAACGATCCAACCGGTCGTTTTGAGATCTAGTGCGTCGTTCGGCTGTTTGAGGCCTTGAGTAGCTTCACTTCATGTATTATGACTTGTACAAGTGGTCGGAATTGAATTTCGGGAAGTTCAGAGTTGTTTCGGAAGGAAAATTCTCAATTCGGAAGCTCTAAGTTGGAAGAGTTGACCAAGGATTTGACCTTTAAGTAAACGACCTCAAAATTAGGATTTGAAGGTTCCAATAGATTTGTATGATGATTTCGGACTTGGGCGTATGTTTGGGTTGAGTATCGGGTCGCTCGGGAGTATTTCGATGCTTATTATGGAAGGTTGGCATTTTAAAAGTTTGAGAATTTCTTAAGATTGATTTGAAGTGAATTTTGATGTTATCGATGTTCGTTTGGGGTTCCGTGCCTTGGAATAGGTTCGTATTGTGATTTATGACTTGTATGCAAAGTTTGGCGATATTCCAGAATATTTTGATATGATTCGGATGCGTTCGTCAAAGTTTGGAAGTATGAAAGTTTAAAGAAAGGTTTTGATCGATGATTCGCAGTTTTGATGTTGTTTAGTGTGATTTGAGGCCTCGAGCAGGTTCGTGTTATATTTTGGGACTTGTTGGTGTGTTTGGATGGGGTCCCGGGGGCCTCGGGTGTGTCTCAAGATGGTTTCGGACCAAGTTTGGGTGCTTTGGATCTTGCTGGTTGCTGGTGCTGGTGTTGTGCATCGCGATTGCGAGGTGATGTACGCGATCGCGAAGAAGGAATTTGGGGTCTTCTGGTTTATGCTACGCGATCGCGACTTGGGAACTGCGATCACGGAGAAGGAATGATGGGCCAGGATTTTTGCCTTATGCGGAGCAAGGTAAGTCTCCTGTCTAACCTTGTGAGGGAAAATTACCCCGTAGGTATTATTCTTGTTATATGCTACATGTTGTGGGAGCTACGCACGTATGAGGTGACGAGTATCCGTGCGCATGCTAGAATTCCTGAGTATGTACGGGTAGACTAGGATTCACGTCATGCTTTATTTGTACTAGTTGAGTTATTATTGCCTGCTTAGATATTTGATTTTGCGTTACGACTTGAGACTAGGCTTGCATAGAGTGATAGACTCGCTATTGTAGAGAATTAACAGGCTACTTGATTAGCCGCGGAATAAGTGTACTTTCCGTACGAATTTCTCCCGCATTGTGCGTTTTTATCGAAAAGCTTCCTTAAATTTCATAACTCACATGTATATTCGTGTGTGGGGTCAAGGACCCGTTAAAGCTTCTTATTCTAATGGGATCGGGTCATTCGCCTCGGCAGGATTATATAACACACTCTTATGGGATCAGGCCGTTCGCCTCGACATGATTATGTAACACAATCTTATGGGATCGGGTCGTTCGCCTCGGCAGTATCAAGTATCATATTCTTATGGGATCGGGCCGTTCACCTCGGCAGTATCATGTATCATATTTTTATGGGATCGGACCATTTGCCTCGACATTTATTTGAAATATTCTTATGGGATCGGGTTGTTCGCCTCGGCAACTTCATGAAAGACTCTTATGGGATCGGGCTGCTCGCCTTGGCAGAATCGTGTGTGATATTTGACAAGAAGCCAGTGTATCCATGAGTTTTCCCGATTTGAATTGTGACGACCTATCTGGTGGGGACTATTTTATATATATACTCTGGTTGAGGAGGTAACCGATAATTTAGAGCTTGTGTTTACTGTTCAGAGGAGGATCGTACCACGTACCTATATTTGTTTATATTGTTTATTTACCATGCCCCATACTTATTTACTTTCTATTGTACTTGATTTATTGGACCACTATTAAGTGTCGATGTCGACCCCTCGTCACTACTTCTCCGGGGTTAGGCTAGATACTTACTAGGTACNGTGAGTTGCATCACATATTACGATCCGCAGCATACAGAGTCTCCATCAGAATTATTTATATTTTTCTGTCTAACTTATATTCTGCACAGATGTTGTATTGTTATTGTACCTTCTAGTAGATGCTCATGTATTTGTGACACCAAGTTTTGGGGGTGTTCTAGAATTTGTTTATGGATTGTTTACATTAATACACTTTTACTTATTATTTTAACTAAAATTGTACTTAACAATAATTTATTTTAATGCATTGACCTCTGTATCTAAATAAGATTCATTATTTTAAAAATAATAAAATGAATAATTAAGTGTTTGCTTGCCTAACGGTGATGTTGGGCGTCATCACGACCTACCGTAGATTTTGGGTCCTGACAACAAATTTAGTACATCTAGCAAAAGTGTAGTAATGGTGTGAGCTAGCCACTTTCGACTCTATAATTGAAAAATGGTCATTGACATGAAGTTTCAAATTTCATAAGTGAAACTTCATGATAATGTCCTAGAGTTTCACCTATAGATAACAGTTTGTGTTTCTCTAATAAATTTGAAAAATACTTTATCAATATTAGGCATCAATTTGTACTTGGGCAAACATTCAAAAGTGCTTCTATAGCTTGTTTGGATTGTTGTTACATGTCGTTTCATAATGTATGGTATTGTATTGTATTGTATTATTTGATGAATACAATGTTTGGGTAAATTGTATTATTTGCCATCATTTCATAATATCACACACCAACAATATGGAGAATAAATTTACAACATTACTAAAAAAAATAGGATACAGAGTAAAATCATTATATAAAAAAGTAAGGTAAATAATAAAATATTATTATGTAATAATAAGAAAGGGTAAGATGGGAGAAAAAAAGCAAGAAAACGACATTACCACACCAAATTTTTCGTTCCAAAAAGTGGCATTTTTCGTCATTACGTAACGATGGATTTAACAATACGATACAACAAAATTTAAGTAACAATCAAAATAACTATTATATTTAAAATAACAATACAATACAATACAATACAATAGGTAACAACCATCCAAACAAGTTAGGGAGAAATTACTTTTTTCAGCTTCTCAAAAATAGCTTCTACTACTACCTAAAAATACTTTTTTTTCTAGACGCTTGGCTAAACACCTCAACACTCTGAAATGAGCACTTTTGACTTCGCAGAAGTCCGACCAAACAAGCTATGAATCAGCAAAGTCTTGATCCCGAGTGCTTTAAAACTCCAATTATTTGACGTCGGCCAAGAATAACTTGGAGAAAATGAGCAATATTTGAGACATGGGTGAGAATGTTTTCCATATAGAAACATGCACGCGCACATATTTTTGTTTTCTAGAGGTATGAACTTATAAGTTTAAGTGCTTATTCAATCGATAGATTGTCGTATTAACCAATATTCGATTGATTGGTACGAGGTTATCGGAAAAAAAAAAAGATTTGTAGTGTGATCTTTTACCCCCTAAAAAGGTTCATAAGCATGTTGGAAGGTTGGTTAACTCTAAACAACATAACTTCGTTTCCGACTTGGTGCATGGGCAAGGAGGAGACCTAAGCAGAATCATAATCTTCCTTTTTTGTGTGTGTTCTATAAATTGGCTTTGATCATGTGGCTAGATGAACTGAAGCTAGTGTCCGCTTTTTATAGTTTTAGTTAAAAGTTTAAACTGTTAAACTATTTTTTATAATTTTCTCGTTTGACTTTACATTATTAATTAACCTATCCGAATTGAGGTTTGGCTTCACGATTCAAAAATGATATATCTTCTTTGCCATCACCCTTACGGTGCTTTTTAAACTTTTAAATCACCTTTGAAGAAGTTTGCTGATTTTGGATAGTTTAGCCCTATTTTTGACTTTTTTTTGTGTTTCTATTGGTTTTTGTTGACACGGGATAAGACTTACGATGAGTCTTTTAGCAAAGGTGGACTTTAGTTTTTCATTTGGGAACTCGATAGCAGGCTTTGACTCTTCTCTTTTGTGGCTAATTGATAATTACTAACCTAAGATTTTTTTTGGTTAATTTTTATGTCCTTTTTGCTTTTATGTGTCTACACAAATCTCATCATAGCTGTTTAGTTTTACTATTATATAAGCTACTATATTATAAAGGAAACGGGGGGAACTTGTGGATCATACTTCCAAAATTATTGTTCCAAAATATAATATATATGATATTTGCAGTGTCACTAACTCCAATCAACCAAGACCATTATAGAATTTTTCCACCCAAAGGACAAAAGTCAATTGCACCATCATCTGTACTACTAGTATAATTATTCTTTCTTAAGTTCAATATCTTTTTCTCCTCCTCTTCCTCCCTTTTCCATTCTAAACACCATTTCACAAGCTAATAAGAGCAAAACGCAAGGACCAATCTTTTACATATTTAATTAATTCGAAACAAAGGATTTGCAGGACATATATTGTTGTATCCAAAATAAAAATAAAAAAGAAAAGGGAAAGGTAAATTATTCTTGGGAGTCCATGAAGCAATACACAGGCCCAATGAAGGAGAGGCCCATTTGAAAATGCTAAAGCTGATAAAGCCTCCTTAGTCTGGACCCGATCCTTTTTATTTAAATCTTTACCCGACCCGGATTGTATAAATATAAATACAGACTTTCATACTATTTTGTACAGTTCTTACACATTAATAAAGTGCTCTGTTCAACTCATACTTCTTTCTCTCTATACGAACAAATATTTTTAGGGTTTCTCTTGAAGATTTTCTTCGAGTTCATGGGGAATTTGACTATTTTCATGTTATCAAAGCTCAAAATTGAAGACATATGAGCATTCCATATCGATCGATTCTATCCTTGGATGTTGGTTCGTGGTTTTGGATTTTTTGGTGGTGAGTTTGCTTCGGTGTTTTCTTAACGATGTGTTCTGTTGAAATTAGTCGTCAGAGACCGATAACTTACTTCTGCTATAACTTTTGTTGTCTACATTTGCTTTGCTGTGAGAATTGATTGAATTTTGTGGAAGCCCTAATTCTTTCAAAACCCTAATTTTCGACCGAGTAATTTTCTATCAATGGCTCATATCGACGATTCTACCACTCTACTCTAGCTTCAACCTCAACTATTTCTTCTTCTGTTGAACCGTCACACCCTTTGTACCTATATCCGTCTGACTCACATGGTACAATTTTGGTCATGAATACCTTTAATGGCATGGGTTATGGGGGTTAGAGACGAAGCATCTTGATTGGGTTATCATGTAAAAACAAATTGGGGATAATGAATGGAAAAATCCCTAAACCTAGTGAAAACTCTGTGTTGTTTGAACCCTGGGTTCCTTATAATAATATGATGACTGCGTGGATACAAAATAGCCTAGACACTGAGATTAGGGAGAGTGTGATGTATACAGAATCTGCTCAAAAACTTTGCAAAGAAATCGAACAACGTTATGGGAAAGCAAATGGGACTAAGGTATTTCAAATCATGAAGGACCTTGCTTCCATTTCCCAGGGGCCTTCTAACATTGCTTCCTATTTCAGTCGTATTAAAAATCTTTGGATGAGTTGGCTTACTCAATTGCTTATCTAGACAATACATGTGGTTATAAAGAGGCTTTTCAGAAGCTAGAAGAAGAGCAAAAGGTTCATCAATTCTTGATGGGGTTAAATGAAACCTACACTGGGGTTAGGAGAAACATTTTGTTGATGAAGCCTTTGCCTGATAATGACAGTGTGTATGCAATGCTAATTGAGGATGAAAGCCAAGCTGAAGTTCAAATTTCAAATTTTTCCTTCAGTCCAGAGTCTTCCTCTTTTGCCACAAATGTTCAGAAGCCTATGAATTCAAGGGTACCATTTGACACTACTAGGGACAATACTAGAGTTCAAAGGTCTTTCACTCCAAGGATAAATTTTGATTCTGCTAAGAAGGGGAACTCTAGTTTGATGTGCAGATGTTATAAGAAACATGGGCATCTGATTGAAAACTGTTATAAGCTGCATTCAAAAGGTCAGCTGCATTTGCTCAAGTCTCAGATTCACCTGATATGGGAGTTACTGATAACTCTACTTCTGAGAGCTCCAAGGTAATTCCACTTGACATTGGGGGTAACATTCTAATAAAGGATCGATATGATCAACTGCTCAATTTTCTTCAACAGTCCAAGATGTCCTCTGCTTCTCAAGAAATTCCATCTGGTTCAGGAAATTTTGCAGGTCTAATAGGTATTTCTCCTTTCAATAGTTGTGATTCTTATGTTTGCAATTTTACTAAAGTAGAGATATGACTTTTGGATCATAGATTCTGGTGCTACTAATCATATGACCCCTNTGGTTCTCTTTCTCCAATCATATCTCTTCCTAATGTCCTACTTGTTCCTTCTTTTCATTATAATCTCATATCTTTAAATCAACTACTTGTTCATCTTAAATGTAATGCCTTTTTTACTGTCTCTGCTTGTGCTTTTTTGCAGGGCCTTTTTCTGAAGAAGTCAGTGGTGCGTGGTAGACTTCTGAAGGGTCTCTACATCCTTCAGCCTAATGATCTTTGTAAATGTGATGTTTCTTCTTTTAATTCCTCTATAAAAACCATAACTGTCAATGTTGATATAAAGAATAAGAGCGGTTCTACTCTCTATTCTTCTGTGTGTTTGCTAATCTTTCTACTTCTGCCTTGTCTATTGACCATGCATGGCATTTGAGATTAGGACATGCTCATTTTGCTAAATGAAACATATTTCTTTTATTTCTGATAAATTGCCTAATAAACAATCTTTCATTTGCTCCATTTGTCCCATGGCTAGACAGCAAAGGATACTCTTTCCTGAAAGTACCATTCACTCCAATATGCCTTTCCAACTAATTCATGTAGATTTGTGGGGACCCTATCACACTCAAACTTATAATGGTTTTAACTATTTTCTGACTATTGTAGATGATTTTACTAGAGCCACTTGGACTCACTTACTTTCATCTAAATCAAATGCCTTTTCTGTTTTGAAATCCTTTATTGCTATGGTTAGCACTCAGTTTTCTCTTCCTGTTAAAACTGTGAGATCAGATAATGCCTTAGAGTTGGGAGGTAGTAATGAGGATATAACCTTCTTCTCTACTCAAGGTATCCTTCACCAGACTTCCTGTTCACATACACCACAGCAAAATGGTGTAGTGGAGAAGAAACACAAACATCTTCTTGAAGGTGCCAGGGCACTCCTTTTTCAATTCAAATTGCCTCTCAAATATTAGAATGAGTATTTTTGACTGCCACATACCTCATAAACAGGCTTCCTTCACCTCTACTTCAAAATAAGTCACCTTTTGAGTTGCTGCATGGTTACTCTCCTTCATTTGCACACTTGAAAACATTTGGCTGCTTATGTTTTGCTGTTGTGCCTAAGCCTTACATAGATAAGTTCAAATCCAGGACTAATCCATATGTTTTTATTGGATAAAGTTCTAGTAAGAAAACTTATAAGTTGCTCAACTTATCCAGCTCAGTCATTTTTCACTCAAGGGATGTGGTGTTCCATGAACACATATTCCCTATTCTGATGCATCTACTTCTACTCATTTGTTTCCACAAGTCCCACATTCTTCTATGCCTGATAATGTTCCAATGCCTGATGTTATTCATGTATCTACATCTTCCTCTATCTCCACTTCTAATGATCCATCATGTGTTGCTAATCCTCCTCTTTGAAGATCTGGTAGCCCCTCCAAAACTCCTACTTATCTTAATGATTATGTATGTACCTCTGTTTCTAGTTCTAAAGTGTTGTCCTCGTCTGATGTTAATTACTTACTAGTGCCTCAATTTTATCATTAAGCTGTGTCTAATCCTGCTTGGCAAGAGGCCATTATGAATGAGTTTCAAGATTTAGATTCCAATAACACATGGACTATCATGCCTCTTCCTTCAGGGAAGAAAGCTATGTGGGTGTACAAGATAAAACAGATGGCAGATGGCTCTATTGAGAGATAGTCTAGGTTGGTGATTAGAGGGGATAGTCAACAGGAAGGAGTAGACTTTACTGAAACTTTCTCTCCAGTGGTCAAATTGACCACTATTATATGTCTACTGCCCATAGCAATTAAATACATTGGACAATATTCCAACTTGATGTTAACAATACTTTTCTACATGGCAATTTTGATGAAGAGGTGTATATAAAAATACCTCCTGGTTTGACTGTTCAATCCTCTACTTCTAATACTCCTTTAGCCTGTAAGCTTAATAAATCCCTCTATGGTCTTAGACAAGCCTCTAGACAATAGTATGCTAAGTTGACTTCAGCTCTTCAGTCTAAGGGTTTTCAGACTAGTGTTAATGACTATTCTTTTATTTAGGAAGTTGCATGGGAATTCCGTGACTATAGTAGCAGTTTATGTTGATGATATACTGGTGACTGGGGATGATTTATGTGAAATTGCTACCTTGAAGCAGTTTTTAGATGATCAGTTTAAGATAAAACATCTTGGTGAAATTTATTTTTTTCCTTGGACTTGAAGTTGTAAAGCAAGCAAATGGTTTTCTGGTTAATGAACATAAATTTCTTGTGGAACTTCTTTCTGAGTTCCATTGTTCTGCTGTTATTTCTCCCCTAGATCCTCATGTTAAGTTAGTTGTTTCTAGATATTTGTTGCTTCCCTCTGTCTATAGAAGGTTGGTAGGGAAGTTAAATTTCTTGCAACATACTAGACCTGACATATCATTCACTTCAACATTTGAGCCAATACATGGCTGCCCCACTAGGGGTTCTTATCGGGCGTATCATACGGATACTTAAGCTTAACCGTTCGGCCTAACGGTTATCAGATTATAAATATAGTAATCCGTTAGCCATCCAATAAGATAACAGGCTGATTGGTATCAGATTAATAATTATCAGGCGGTTATCGGGCGACTTATCGGCTAAACCAAATTAACAAAATTGAAAAATCATTCAATCAATACCAAACAGTTTCAAATCAATACTAAATTTTTAGTACCATCTAGGATCTAACCAAATGGTATTTTTGAATTGAAGAGTTTTCAAGACTAACCAAATGGTATTTTTGAATTGAAGAGTTTTCAAGACTATGCATACTGTCATACGCGTATTAACCAAATTTTTAATATCATCAAGACTACTCATACAAACATACAAGTATTAATCAATCAAACTTTTATTAACATTCGTTCTTCACAAGATATCCGGATTGTAAAACCAAATATCTAGAAAATCATACTTTAATTTGTTAGATGCATGCAAAAAAGAACATAAAACAGACAATCCAGTCAAGTACTTCCAGTTCATTGATCTTTATTGGAGAACTATGATAGCTATCAAATCTGGTGGGAAAGTACCTGCTAATGTTATCGGTGATGCATTGCGAATTTATGCATCAAGATGACTACCAAACATTTCAAAATATGCAAATCCTAAGAAGCAGCTATAATATAATCAGAAAGACTCGGATTCGATTGGAAAATACAGGATGCTATTGGAGTCAATTATCACATTGTTACCAGCTGAAAAGGGTGCAGTTTCTTATTGAAATTGCTTAAAGCAGCTAACATTTTGAAGGCTTCTTCTTCATCCAAGATGGAATTGGCAAGAAGGATTGGGCTCCAATTGGAAGATGCCGTTGTCAATAATCTGTTAATACCTTGTCTGTCACACACGTGACACAATTTATGATGTGGACATAGTTATCACCATTAGAAAAGTTCTTCAATAAAAATCTACAATATGATCACTAATCAATTCCACAAAGCTTATCAATCATCCTCCTGTTCATCTAACAAAAGGTATTAGAATATATAATGCCACCAGCAGAGCAATTCCACAAACTGCGAAACATTTGCGGCTGTCTGCATTCCATATTAATTCTACTGAACTACAAAACTTATAATGGTTTTGCCGCCTAAACCCTCTGTTTCCCTATTTTCAGTCAGTCAGTTACACATCAACTACGGAAGGGTCTTTTCCGGCGCTAAAAATTATAATAATGAGTCATACAATAAATATAAACTATTTACAACAACAGTATACAATAAATATATTAATAATATTATTACCTTGTTCAAGCTACTCAATTTTATCAAGATCTTCCTCAACATTTACAAGTTGTTTTAATTTTTCATTTCGAAGCCAATCTTGAAGACACACTAGAGCTTGTACCAATTTAGGAGTCAATGAACTCCTAAATGAATCAAGAAGACGTCCTCATGTACTAAACGCACATTCGGATGCCACACTTGAAACTGGAACAGCTAATACATCACGAGCCAGATCCACAAGAATAGGAAATCTAGCTGAGTTCATTTTCCACCGGCGAAGGACATCAAATTCTTTAGTGTCATCCTCAGTTTCTTCACCAAAATATTTATCTAACTCTTTTCTAGCATCCACACCTCCACTCACAATTATATATTTCTTTAGATCTTGCATGAGTGATTCTAAAAGTCATGTACTTTGGGCACTTACTTGACTGCCACTAAGCCCAGAAGTAGAAGTGTCCAATGAAGAGAAACTTGAAGATGAAGCAAGCGCGACACCTTTTGAGCTGGACTTTAAATACTCATTAAATAATGAAGTTATGCACTTCTTAACTTTTGCTTGTATAGTTGCCCCTGGGTTTTCACCAAACATCTTTAGAAGTGCATAACCAACTGATTCGAGCTTGTAACGAGGATCCAAAATACATGAAATAAAAATTATCTTGTTCATTTTCCCTAGAACACTCCAATATTTATCAAAATTTTCTTTCATCTTTATTGCCATTTCACTTAAAACAATATCTTCACTTTCTATCAATTGCTTCAAATAAATAACAACCGCACAAATTTAAAGAAAATGGATACTTGATGTAACATAACATGATCCAAATATTTTCAAAGTAAGAAGATAGAAGATTTCAAGAAGTATCGTAATTCTTTTTACATTTTTCCAATCACTACTCAAAAGTTCACCCGTAGGAACTCCATCTTCAATATAAGAATGCTCAAGATAATGCCTCAAGCCAATTTCATGAGAAGCATAATGTGAAAATGCATTCTCAAATTCAACAGCCCTACTCAACATCAAGTAGGTAGAATTCCACCTAGTTGGAACATCCAAGCATAAATTATTTTTTTTTGCAATTGAGTTGTTCATCATCAAAACTTTCTTGAAATCTCTTCAACCTCGCAGGTGACTGCCTAATGTATCTCACTGCATGCCTCACACGTTCAATAGACAAAGAAGATTCTTCTAAACCATCATGGACTACAAGATTCATGATGTAATCCATACATCTCACATGAAGGTGATTACCGTTCATCAAATTAGTTCCCATTTTTATTAATTGCTTAGACAATTCTTTTACTGTCATATCATTTGAGCTTGCATTATCAACTGTGATAGTGAAGATCTTATTTATCCCTCACTCACGTAAGCACCTACCAATACCATTTTTCATATCTTCGCCTTTATGGCTAACAATATGACAGAAATTAAGTATTCTCTTATGATATTCCATTCAGTATCAATCCAATGGGCAGTGATACACATATAATTAATTCTTTGTATAGAAGTCCAGGTGCCAGTGGTAATACATACTCTTTGTTTTTTTTTTCATAAAAGACCTCCTCAACTTTTGCTTTTCTTTATTAAAAAATCCCTATTCACGGTGCTACGAGAAGGGATCCGCAAATAAGGTTGTGCCATTTTCATAAAGTCTCTAAACCTTCTTTATCAACAAAGCTGAAAGGGAGCTCATCAACTATTACCAAATGACATAACGCCTTCCTACACTCTTCTTGATCAAATTTCCAAGTGACAACAACTACATCACCTTGGCTACCCCCCGCAACAGATTGAAAGCCTAAGTTTGATTGTTTTTTATCAACGTTTAGGACACTTAACCATTTGATAAAGAATTGTCGATGTACCGTCTTTTGTCTTAAAACAATACTCATAAAAGTAATAGTCACATTTTGCTTGTATTCCCTTCAGAAGCAACAACTTCTGTAAAATGATCCCATGCAACAGACCTTTTTCTCCTCTTTTTTGTTAGATTTGACTCAGTTGTTTCAGCTTGACTTGCTGCATTTGAATTAGAAGCTCTACTTTCACCCATCACCTTTTATCACTTTGTATATTTTCAGTCATGTTATGACTCACTACGATAAGAAAAAATAATTAATGAATACATATGTAGCCAAATTAATCTGTTAACACGATGCGAAAAAAGGGCGTGCCATTATCATAGATGGTACATATGCCGGCAAACAACCGATTACGTTCCTAAGGTTTCCCAGCAGACTATGTTGATATTCAAACACTATATTAATCCAAACATAGTTGACTTTCATAAAGAACAAACTAAAGGAAAAACTCAAAAACCTTACCTGAAGCTGAATTGCTGAAGGATTTTCTAAGCTCTGGTGACTGACGACTTCTCAGTTCGTGAAGGGAAAAACCTTACCAAAAGGCAAAAGCTTCAGCCTTCGCCCTCAAAGCTCTTACGCTTAACTTAGCTAGAAGTTGTAATTCGATTCTGTAATATGCAAATAAAAGGTACAGCATGTGAGAAAAATCAATATTCATATAAAACTGGGCAGCCACCTGTAATTGAATCAAGAAGTTGGAAAAAGATTAGTAATATACAAACAATAATGGAAATGCATGGAAATAAAAAAAGAAGACAGATAAACAATGGCATAATTTCCTAAACCGTTAAACAACGAAGATTTAGTAGAAAGTTGAGATAAGCTTTCTAAATTTCCAAGAAAACACTTCCAAATTGATGAAAAGTAGTTCACAAGAAGTACTAATCATCCTATTATCAGATGATGAAATTCTACGAGCAGATTCAGAATGAGACGAGAGCGAGACTGCCTTACTGTGTGACGATTAACGAGTAACGAGTGATGACTGATGAGCACGAGGCCACGAGCAGATTCAGATTTCGATTTTTTTGACTTCTCAGTTCTTAATTCAAGAGAGGGACGAGACTAACGACTTCTCTGCCTCTGGTGGCTGCAGATAATTGAGAATTAGAAAATAAAAATTAGGGATTTAGCCATATAGGGTTTCAATAGTACTTTGTATACATAAGGGTAAAAGTGTAAATATAAAAAAAATTAACGGGTTAACGGTTTACCCAATAAGAAAATTGAGTAATCCGCCCCCAAACCGTTACGCCGTTAATTATAAAATCTCAATTTGTTCACCATCCATTACCCCGATAATCCGATATCAATAAGCCAATAAGCCATCGGTTTGGTTCAGTTCGACTAATAGTTTCGGTTCGATTTTGAACAGCCCTATGCCCCACGACTGGACCATTTGAAATGATGCTTATCATGTCTTGAGGTACTTGGCTAGCACCCCCTCAGTTGGTTTGTTATTGTGTAACTCTCCTGACTTTACTCTCCAAGGTTATTGTGTTGCCGATTGGGCAAGCTGTGTTGATACTAGAAGGTCTGTTGATGGCCTTATTGTGTTTCTTGGTGGCTTCCCCATTGCCTGGAAGTCTAAGAAACAACCCACCATTGCTTTATCCTCTGCTGAGGCCGAGTACAGGGTACTTATATTGTTGGTTGTTGAGGTTTCTTGGGTCCTTCGACTCTTGGCTGAGCTTAGTGTGGCAGGTCTTGTCCCTGTTGATGTTTTCTGTGATAGTAAATCTGCCATACACATCGCCAAGAATCTTATTTTCCATGAGCGTACTAAGGATATTGAAGTGGATTGCCATTTTGTTGAGGATGCTTTAAAGGCTGGGCTCATTACTCTGCATTCTATCTCTATTCATTCTCAACTTGCTGACATTTTTATTAAGCCTCTTCTAGGTAGCAGTCAACAGACCTTTATCTCCAAGCTTGGAGTGGCTTCTCCTTCCAGATTGAAGGGGGTGTTGGAGTCTAATAAGCAATACACAGTCCCAATGAAGGATGTTGGAGTCCATGAAGCAATACACGGGCCTAATGAAGGAGAGGCCCACTTGAAGAAGCTGAAGCTGATGAAGCCTTCTTAGTCTGGACCCGGTCCTTTAATTTAAGTCTTTACCCTACCCGGATTGTATAAATATAAATACAGACTTTCATATTATTTTGTACATTTCTTAAACATTAATAAAATTGCTCTGTTCAGCTCATACTTCTTTCTCTCTATACACACAAATATTCTTAGGGTTTCTCTTGAACATTTTCCTCGAGTTCATGGGGAATTCAATTGTTTTCAATTCCTTCTTTCTTTTCTTTTTCTAGTGAAAACTAAAGGAGGAACTAGTTTAAGCTCAAAACTATAGAGGCAAAGCTCAAATGATCTGCACTCTTTGGACTTTGATACGTATAGAAGTTCTTCTTCAACCCCCCGACCTCCCTTTCGAAAAAAACTAAAAATAATTAAGGACTCGACAAAACTTAAAAGAAATCGACCAAAGAGAGTTAACTAAAGGGATATATAGATAATATTGTCCATGACATCAGTGGTGGGGACTCTATTTTACCTACTAATAAAGTTAGACGAATGTAAATTTTATGGAGTGAAATTTTCCAACAAAAGTCTTCTTTGCATGAGCTCAATTAATGACAAAAATAAGGGCACACATACTATCACGCATGTAAGGGAGAGAGAGAAAATTAAGAATGCACTTTAAAGACGAATAGGTCTCATGACACATAAAGTATATATTAGAGTCAATATATCAGTGAGCGCGAGATATAACTTTACTCTTGATATCACTGTATAAATGTGCTACTCTTCCCCATTAGAAATTAGACCAATCATTCTACTCTCTTCTTCTATTGGTTTGTAATTGTTTACCTTTGAAATTGGATAACAATTAAACTTACAGCGTGGCTCTAAGAACACGTGATTTCACTTAATACCAATTGATAAATATGAGGATTAATAGCAGAAATGAACTGTAAAGTAAAGCAAACCAGTGTTAGAATGGAACTCAGCCCTCGAGTCGGGATACCCTCGAACTGGTTGATGCAAGAACAATTAAAATATAGCAAGCTGATGAACAAGAGAGTATAAGCTAGAGAGAGTTATATTCTTTCTAATGCGAGAACAATGTGTCTTACAAATGGTTAATACTCCCCTTTATATAGTAGAGGAGTTCTACTTATGGTATAATTCTAATTACAGAAGAAAATCTCATGATTAGCTAATTAACCGTTTCTGATTTGATCCGTTTTGAGATTTACGCTACGATCCTCGACCAGTCATCGAGATTTACGCCGTGATCTTCGACCAGTCACAGATATCTTACCTTCCCATTATTATGTTATATTTGATCTTGTCCGATGTCTGTCTCATTTGGTTTTGATCGCTACTATCCTCGATCTCGACAGGTACCCTGGTTCTGAACTTAGTACCAAGTCCTCGTGATTTAGTCTGTTCCGTTACGAGGCCGCTCTTCGATGCAATCTCCCGATCTCGGTCAAATAGTAAAATTGGATGGGGCCGGCTTTAACCGTATACAGATAGTCCCCTCGTTTTTTTGGAGTGTAATGACAAGAAACGAATTGAGCCTTCGATTTTTCTACCTCGACCTGTCATAATGTCATCCTCATGACGTAAGCGACAGAAGTGACCGAAACGTCCAGTCTGTACAGTTACCAAGGCATTAAATGCGCGTCAGTCGATGGTCGGCCACAGCCAGTTTTGAACCGTAGTTGTGAAATCTATAAATAGCTCCTCTCTTCACTATTTCAAACTTTTACTTTCAGATTTCCAATCTCCAAAGCTTTTTACATCTTCTAAGTTCTTCATCTGTAAATCTACGATTCTCACTGCTAACCTCTTCTTAGAAAACCAAATCTTATCATCCCTATCTATTTTTAACTTCAAGTTCAAATGGTGAAAACGTCAAAAATTGTTCCTCAAACGGAAAATGCTTCTTCATCGCGGCCGGCCGGCGACAAAACACCGGTGGAGCCGCGCCCTGAGGAGTGTGTTCCCGGGGGGTGCGTTCTCACTTATGACTTTAAAACTGATAAAGCCTCGTCGATTCCTGGTTGATGTGAGCCAGTGTCGAGGTATATATGCTCGATAACCGAATGATACCTTAAGGAGGTAAAGAAAGACTGCAACTGGGAGGGCAAAGAGGTGGTGATCCCGACCCCCGAAGAGGATATCACCACACATGTGGAAGGGTTTCTAAGTGTTTACACTTACCCTTTCACGCCGAGTCCCCTCGACCCCGTCGTCGTTGATTTTTGCCATCAATACCAAATAACCCTAGGCCAAATCCATCCTTCCTTTTGGCGTATTGTTATTCTGCACGATTCTTCGTGAGCAAAGTCGAGGGGATGCCTTTCACCCTCGACCACCTCATCAGGT